CTCAAGGTAACATGACCTAAGAGCTCCTTCTTTGGATTGAAGACCTCTGCTTCCAATGCACTCTCTCAGACTTTTCCTCTGATGAAGTTTGCTTGTTAACATTGCTCCTCCTATGTTGGCTAATGCTACCCTCACTCCATTCTCACGAGATACCCACAAGTTGACCTGTCAGCCAGGCTTTCTAGCCTTCTACATAATCTTGTCTGTTGTTTGGACTGTTAGGCTTGTTTCCATCTCACCCCAAGACTGGACACGAACACAAAAGGGCCTCCTTGCCCTTCTCATCCTTCTTCTAGCAGGACTTATTGCCATCCCACCATGTGCTCTGGGACCCATACCATAATTTTTCCAAAAACCCTACAATCGTTTCCAAAACTGTCCTTCCATAATTATTTACTGGATTATCATTTTCTGTTTTGGTGCTTTATACTGCTTATTTTAACTGAGGGAAATACAGCTGAGCCAGATGACCTGACAGGACACTGGACATTCCAAGTACAGCTATATGAAACTGATTTCCCTTGTCATCATCAACTAGTCTTGTTGAGACCTTTCCCACTCCCAAGTGTCAGTCTACTTTGATGCATGCCCCAAAAAGGTCAAAGGCCATTGGTGGTCAACCAGATGCACAAACTTAAATGTAGAACATAGTTACCAAAAAAAAAAATACTTTTGTGAGGAATGGAAACAGGCAATTAGGGATTACTGTAGAACCACATGGTTTCCTGGCTGCTACCCATGTCCGGGACCAAAGTGTAGATGGTCCCCTCTCAGAGTAGAGGGGTGTTTCATCCCTGGAGGATATTACTGCCACAAAGGGAGTATATGCCACAGGGAATATCAGAGAGATACTGGCTCCCCCTTGGTTGCCCTTCGAACACTGCCAAATTGTTCACAGTGGACCTGCAACCTGATGGTTTATACTATTAAAGATCCCCAAGACCCCGACTGGACCACAGGATGCCATGGGGGCATTTGGGTCACCATAGAAAGTGTCTGGTGGGGCAATCCATGACAACTTTTTACCATAAAAAGGTCTGGCAACCTCTTCCACAAATAAGGGTACCACAACTCAGGCCCCAGGTGGTTCCCCTAGCGCCCCCAAAACCAGAGCCAGCACACAATAATTCACAGACTCTGCCAAAACAAGATATTTTTCTAAACTCAGACCTGGTACAAATCCTAAATCCACCCATGGCATTCTCCAGGCAGTAAACCCACTGCTAGGACATGACTGATGGTTATGCATGCTGCTTACAAAACTATATTACAGGGCCCTAGGGGTAATGGTGGCAAATCAATGGCTCAATCAGACTAACTCTCCTGGGTAATTACTTCAGCCCCACTCAAGGTCTGGGGTAATGCCTCATGCTTAAGGGGGACTAGCCATACAAAAGACGTAATAGCTTCTTGTCTTGAAGTCCAAAGTGTCACTCAGAGCTCACTATTGCCTCCTCCAGCTGGAACCTTCATGATGTGCTATGATGGGATCTATTTCTCATTTACAGGTGCCACCATGGGACTCTGTGCAATAGTCTTCCTAATTCCGGACATTGATGTATACCCTGGGGAAGGGGGGCTACCCCTCCCACACTCTCCCTGAAAAAAAGGGATCCCATAATTCTACCCATACTGGCAGGAATAGCTACAGCAGGAAGTGTAGCGGTGAGTCCCACTGCACGAGGACTAGGACAAAATCAGTTTGCAGATCTGGGATATCAAATTTGCTCATAGCTTGATGCCACACAGGAGGCCATCAATACTTTATAGCAACAGATAGACTCCCTAGTGGAAGTAACACTCCAAAATAGAAGGACCATCAATGTCCTCACGGCAGAACAGGGAGGAACCTGTGCCTTTTTAAAGGAAGAATGTTGCTACTATGCCAATAAACCCAGAGTGGTGAGAGAAATTACAGGTCAAATGGGGGAAAGACTTAAGACTCAGTGGGCCAGATATGACCCCCAAGGTACTAATCAATGGTGGGATACTTTTGGTTCCTAGAGCTCATGGCTCCCCTGGCTATGACCGCTTTGGGGACCCCTCAGTATTATGTGTCTGATCATCTGCTTTGGACTGTGTTTGTTTCACTATTTTCAAAATTTCTTGCAGGAATGCATGAGGGCATTTACCAACCAGACAGTCACAGAGCTCATCATGGTGGGGTACCAGCCACTGCAGCAGGGGGAAGAAGCCCCCACCCACTACCACCCCCGTCAGATCCAGGGTTAGCCCTAATCTTTGCCCCTTTGTCAGCCTGAAGCAGCTCCAGAAGAGACCTTCAACTAACAACCCTAAAACCAGAGCCTGGAATGACAGATTCCCCTCCGATTTAGGGTGCTGCTGTATATAACAGCTGCCTTCTTCCCAACATGCCCCTATTCCTCCCAAAAGAGTACCCTAACACTCGCTCTCCTCCTGCCAACTAGTGATGCCACAGGCTCCTCCAGTCCCCAGCCACTACTTCACTCAACCCCACCCCAGCTCCCATAAGAAGCACTCCCTGGCCCAGCCACGTTGCTTTGTCTCTCCTTTTGTTCAGAGACAGCCCTGCAGATCATCCCTGCAATAAAGGCTTGTTGTGGCCTGGTCTGGTCTTGGTTTTTTTTTTTTTTTGGTACCGGGAATCGAACTCGGGTCCTTGCACTTGGGAGGCAGGCGGCGGAACCACTGAGCTAAATCCCCTGCCCCATGGTTTTTGGCTTTTTTACCTAACATAAACTACTGTCTTAGGAATTACTGGGAGACAGAGAGCATTCTAGATTTAAGGAAGAGAAAACTAAAGCTTCCAAAAAAGAAAAGTCAGAGTTAGTACAATTGAAATAAAGCAGGATTGAAAATTCCTTTTGGTATTGTGATGTGCCCTAGAACTCTGTCATACATTTATATTCTGAGCATATAAGGTGGTATCATTTACTTCTTTTAAAGAATCCTAGAGAAAAACAACTTCATTCTTTAAAATGTGTTAATTTTTCTGTTTTCTACATTGTTTTGTGGTATGCTACTGTAATAAAGTGCCATGTTTGGTTTTTATTTGCTGAGTCGGCAGTATAGGCTACTGGAACAAGGGACCAGCTTCCTACTTTCATGGGTTTATATGGAGGAGAGAAGCCCAGGAGGGTGCAGGAAATACTACAGTGTTCTAACGGGCTTTTAGTCTGTTCTAAAGATTTATTTTTAAATACTGTTTTGCTTGATCATTAAAAATATATTTCTTATCATTTTGTTTGGCATTAAGGCATTGTAGCTTTCCTATTGGAGTTCCTTATTTAATCCTTTTGGAAATAAACTCAGTAAAAGATATATTTGCTTAGAATATGTTGAGTTGCAAGACAGAATTCTAATTTAGGCAATTACCAAACTAGGATTCTCTCAGCTGTCATTTTCATTTGGGTGAGTGAACTCTTACTTTGCTTTGGCTTTGTGGGAAATTTTTCTTTTTCATGTCATTAAACAAAAATGATTAAAATGACTAGAGCCAAAGAATGAATATTCCCAATGAAGGCAGAAGCAGTATTTTAATTTCCTTTTTAATATTCTAACAGCTCTTTTCACTACAAGATACTCGGGCTGACTGAATTCATGGCTAAGTATTTTTAGATCATTTTACAAGAAAAATTAACAGTATTTAAACCTCTAAGGTATACATGCTTAGAATATAAATACCGCTTATTTGTGAAGGATGTAAGCAGATTAGTAAAGCACAGTTCTGGGTGTGCCTGTGTGGTATTTGCAGAGACAATTGGCATCTAGGCCAGCAAACTGAGGGGGACAACACAACCTGGTTGTGGGTGGCACCAACCCAATAGGCTTGTATCCTAGATAGAATGAAAGGAAAGAAGAAAGGTGGTGTACATTTTGAAGAGTTCCATTCTGCTTAAAGGGGTGCATTTCTTGCTGCCTTCCCCTGTGGCTATCAGACTTGTTTCTTTAGCCTTCCAATACAGAGTGATACCAGCAACTCTCCAGGGAGCTTCCAGGCCTTCAGTAACAGATGAAATTAGGAAAGGCAAGGCAAAAAAATATTTAATCTACAAGTATAACTTCTATCTAAACATTTTTACTAGATTCCTGTTTGCAAGAGGAACTATATTAGGAACTGGATTTCAAGGAATTAAAAAAAATTGAGCAGGATGAAATACTTGCCTTCAGGAACTCTCACACCAGTGAAATAGATAAGACCACCAGCTGCTAGTTGCTGTACCTTACACTGGAGGTCACACATACAAATCTCATTTAATCTTCACAACAGTCCTGCAAATTCAGGTTAAATTACTCCTGTTTTAACAGATGAAGAAATCAAGATTCCACAACTTGCATACCGCTAGTAGCACACGTAGTTTTAGAGGTCACTCCAGATTTCTGACATGGAACAATCAGACCAGCATCTAGAGTCCTGAAATACTCAACGAAGTATGCTGAGCAGCACTACAAAAGATTCCTGAAAAATCCAGTGCTGGAGATCATCTTAGGGCAGTGATGGTGAACTTTTTAGAGAAACGTGTTCAATTGGAATCCAAAACCCACTTATTTATCTCAAAGTGCCAAACTGCAATTAAACCTGAATATTGAGGTCTTAGTTTAGAAAAACAACTCATAAACTTGACTCATGTGCTGGCAGAGAGGGCTCTGTATGACCACTATGGTGTGCCATAGGTTCACCTCCACTCTCTTAAGGGGTGGCAGGGATTGCCCTGGGGCAATTCCTGGAGAACAAAGCGGGTAGACCTAAGATTTAGAGGCAGGACAGGGCAAGGCTGTATGTGCAGAGTTGATACAGTCTGTATGTAGTTCAGAGTCTAGAGCCAAGCCAGGGTAACAAACCTATGTCCACATGCTGCGGCAGGTGGTTTGCCATTTCTGTCTGGACTACTGGGAACAGTCCACAAACAGTGCCTTTGAGCTACCCAACTGTGAGGACACTTGTGTGAGTGCACAATGAGCATGTTAACCACCTGGTTTTCTTTTGATTATCTCTCTTTTGTCTGTTGAATTTACAGGGTCTTGCCTAAGGAATTTGAGGTGGAAAGAAGGAGAAAAAGACTTTTATTCTTTCTCACTGCTCATGGAACCCACTTGTCATTCATGTCCAATCCACAGTGTCTACCTCTCCTCAGGTCCAGAGAAGCTACAGAAGCACAATAGAAAACCCTGTTGCTTGAGATGCATAGGATGTCATTAACTACACAATAGCTGCTGAAAAGCGGTGTCTGTTATCTGGACATTGGCTTCTTGAAGTTTGAATCAGACAATCTGCCAACTGACAGGCAGCCAGTCAGCCCTCTGAAGCTCACTTTCTCCTGTTGGCCCCAGAGAGGAGGCAGAAAGTCTTTAATACTTGCTTGAGGCTCAGAAAACAATACTCCCAATTCCAAGTATGGTGTCTTTGATCTAAACTAGCAATATCGAGATTCTCCGTGACCCTCCCCACCTACCATGTGATCCAGTCTCTTAGTCCTCTTTCCTTCTCAAAGCCCAGGCAAGGGCTTTCTTCGATGCTTCCATTCCAGAGTGAAGGCAACTGGTGTATAATTTCATTAATCATGGAAGATTCGCATGGAAAAAGGAAACAGTAAAAGGTCTTTATGCCCATGACTTCCTGCCGAGACAGACTCTATTTTATTGAACTTAGGAAGTGCTCAGCTACCTTTTCTGACTCTTTTTTGTTTTGTTTTTTTATTTTGAGACAGGGTCTCACTACATTTCTAAATTTGCTACCGTAGAGTTTATAATCCTCTTGCCCAAGCTGGCAAGTAGTTGGGATTGTTGTGCCAAGTGAGCCAATAAATCACCAAACACTGGGACTAACGACAAAGTTAAACTGAAAGGAGTTTATTCATGTGCGTGGACTTCACTCCCTAAACGAAGTGAAGCCCTGAGTCCAGGAACACCACAGTTTATATAGGGTGTTATAGCAGCATAGCTTTTATATGTGTTATTTTAAGAAGAGAAGTTCAAGGGGAGGTTAACATGTTTTTGACTAGTTGCAAAAGTAATTTTTCACAACTCAGCTATCTTGCTGTGTCAAGTTAGTAAAGGGAGGCACCAGGCACTATCTCTTTCCGAGAAGGAATGAAGCAAGTTTACAGAAGCAGAACAAGCAGTTACAAAAATCATCTACTTTATAAGGAGAGGGGCATGAGGGGAGTTCATCTACAGGCCAAGATGGCGTTTCTTGGATTTATCCTGGTCTCACAGGGATAACAGGTGTTGACCACTGTACACGGAGGGACAGATTTTCATCTATTTTTCAGAAAACAGCTCTGAGTGATCACATTATCTACATAATTGAAGGACCCTAGTTAGCAAGACAGACTCTACATTGCCGCTGAACAACCCACCTGCCTGCGCTTTAGATGAACTCAAAAGGAGGAAGCTTAGAAACCTCCTCCCCTTAGAGAGTCTCTTAGAAACAACAATTAATCAACTATTGTTTCTCAAACGTTGTAACAGCAGGACGTTCCGCTTCTGTACCTTTTGCTTGCTTTGCTAGTTCTACCCCATAGAGGGGCCTAGAAACTGCTGGCCTCAAAGGTGTATAAAATATGTTAGTCTCCCCCAGTCGGAGCCCGAGTCTGATGCTCGGCTAGGTCCCGGCCGGTAATAAACTCCTGTGTGGATTTACTATCGGCCTCTGGTTGGTTCTCTCTCACTGGGTGTAACATTCGTAAGACAACATTTATTCACCGTACCGTAGCTTGTCATCACCACTCTCTAGAGTGCCCAAATTCATGGCCTCTTCAAGTCTCTATTCCCCTCTGTACCTCAGGAAGTTGTATAAGCAACCGCTGGCCCTTCTTAGAAGTTCCTACCTTGTGTACGACTGTTATGCTATGATTTTCTCCCATGAGTATCAAAACCCTTATATCTTTTCTCCTATTTAATCTTTCTATTGTTGGTTCATTTCAGAGAACTTTTGTGGGGCAAAGTGGATGTTTTTCCATATTGTTGGGAAACATTTTCAACTTCTTACACTGTCTACAAAGCAAAAGTAACACATTTAAACGTCTTCTTCTTTTTTTTTTTTTTGGTACCAGGGATCGAACTTGGGTCCTTACGCTTGCAAGGCAGGCAGCAGAACCACTGAGCTGAATCCCCAGCCCACATTTAAACTTTTTATGTGCCCTTCCTACATCTATGAATATTTACATTATTTGTGTGTCTCAAATTGCAGTATTCATGCTAACTAGAATTCATTGAGGAAAATATTGGCATAGAGTGCAAATCAAACTCAACAACAAGTACTACATTGATGACTTCCCTTGCATTTAAACATTCATTAGGTTTTTATTACCAATCAGAAATATCCTGCCATTTTACTATGGGGATGTTCAGAAAAGTCAACTTCATAGCTCAGACAGACAAACAAAATAACTTCAGTATTTTTCCTTTGGCTTCAGAAATCCATCCAAAAGCACTGCATTTCCAGAATAGAGCAGAAGAATTCAGTTCCAATCTTAAGAATGAAACATGAATTAAATCATTAGAATCAAGAAGAATTGGGAAATTTAGAACTCAGATATTAAAGTTCCCAGTAGCACAATATTGTAATAAGTGACAGAGGAAATAAAAACAAGCAGCAATGACAGTATTCATTTTCTTAAGGGAAAGAAGTTCTTGTTCCTTTTCTGCTTACCGAGTCTGTGTCTTGATTCCTTCTCTGCTTCCCTAGCTACCAAGAAGACATGAGATGTCATATCCAGGCATCCAGGCTCTCTCTTCTCTATAAAAAACTACCGCTTGGTAGCTGGGGTTGTAACTCAGTGTTAGAATGTGTGCTTCACATGAGCAAGGCTCTAAGTACAAAAAAAAAGATGAAAGAAATGAAAAAAATAAAAAGGAAGGAAAGAAGACCCTCCCCACACACAGTTATAGCTTGGAGCAAGGTGCCCTGGGAGATAGGAAACTATTTTTCTTGATATTTATATTTCAAAGAGATGGAGCCTATACCCTTAAGAAAATAATCCAGGTTGTAATAATTCTGACAAGTGGTGTAATTAGCTTTTAAAAAATATTTGCACACATACCACAGGAATTGAAGGAATCATAAATACATGATATCACAAGGAGATGCTCTGAGAAAAGAGGAGACAATGTCCCTCATTCTAGTAACAAGGAAAACTCAGTTTTTAAAACTGACTTTCCATTTGTATAGAATTATGAAGATCAAGCAAGCCTGATTTCTAATCAGAAGGCCTTTAAGGACAGAATTTCAATTACTCATTCTCCTCTTTGAGGCAAATATTTTACTAACATTTTAAGTATTAAATAGAAAAGCAGGTTTGGATTTACCATGGTTTGTTAAGCATTTGATGATACTTTTAAACCACAAGTACTTAACTTGCTACTCAACAGTACTGGCACTGGATGTACTGGTCTGCTTCACGAGTGAGCGATGCCAGTAGCCCAGACTGGTTTCCACCATGTCAGAATTTATTGAATAACAATAAATTCACAAGCTACATTCACATGCTCTAGATTTGTTCCATAGCCAGTGAACCAAGCAATCATTGGTTCTTGTATTTTAATTGTAATCGCTAATATCTATAGCATTCAAGTCACACATTACACTTTACACAATAATGTAGAGGTTACAAAGGCATTAAAAAAGGGTTAACGGTGGCCACAGGATTGAAAAAGAACTGAAAATCAAGCCAGAGAATCTACAGAGATCTGAAAAATCAACACAGGTAGCTAGACACGGTTAGAGACCCAACAGAAGGTATCCACAAGGGTTATTGAGAACACAGTTTTCGAAGGTTGATTCTGAATGGCAGACAGTTTTTAGTGAGTCACATCAAGCAAGAGTATCAGAGAAGCCAAGGGTCAGGAGATGGAGCTTGTGACCTGTTAACCTCCTGATTAGCTCACCAGATGGTAATAGGACAAGTCAGTGTGTGTGTTGTTGCAACATCCAAGTGTTGGATGTCCCTGCTTTCATATAATACAGGCAAAAAAGTTGCATAATTTGTTGATCTGATTTTTCTGACAAGCTCACTGGCTTGATTTTCTCTGATTTATCTTAGATTTATCATGTGTCTAGGTGACCTCATTTGATTTGATAAATTTATGGGTGTCTATATTTGCATTACCAAGATTAATTTATCAGTGTATGCTTTGTGATTATACTGTGCAGCTGAGAGTTGTTTTTATAGGTAAGTTTGGTGTGTCCAACATCTGGTGGTTGTTTATTGGCATAGATAAGTTACCAAGTCACTCTGACTCTCCATTCGCATGCAAAATGGAGCAACTCAGGGCAAAGTTCAGGCTGAATGCTACTATTCTATACAACATGGAGTAACTTACATCAGGTCATAGCCAGGCCCTATGTAGTCTTCCTTAATTTTCACTGGTCTGAAGCTATTAAAACGTGAAAGACAGAAACAAATTCTGCTTTTACTAAAATCAAAGACACAGCCAGACAATACAGTTCTAGGGCAGATCTTCATCAACAATACACTATTGCAATAGGGGGCAGAGTCTCAGGGGACTGAGCTCCACTTCCCACAGCTTCCAGCAGAACCGAGGTGATTCAGCATTTTTAAGAAGTGAGAAACAGGAATGGGGTGAGTGGGGACTCAGTGGAGGCAGGAAAGTGAGAATTACAAAACCACAGTGGGTGTTGGTAATATGAATATTCCACATGGGTTTGCTAGCTGGCACTTATCCCAGTAAGACTCACCATCTCAGGAAGGCTGGGAGATGGGTTCCTTGCCTTCACATGTTGGCTGGAATGCACAGTAAAGTGTTCTGGAAGCCTTGAATTTTCTCCAGCAAGCATAATAAGGTGGCCTAGAGTTACCTAAGGATACAATGTTGAGCTGTTAGAAAACATGTTCATTTTTGTTCAAGTCTTTATGGGCCAAGGTTGGCACCTGGGAGAGAAAAGGACCAGGGAACCTTGTTGGAGTCTGGTCAAGAAAAGAATCTTCACACTGTGCTTAGGGTAGTCTGTGCCTTAGTCACTGTTAGACCCAGTGAGAGAGAGCCAACCACAGACCGATATGAGATCCACACAGGAGTTTATTACAGGCCGGGACCCGAGCCGAGCATCGGACTCAAGCCCCGACTGGGGGGAGACAAACATGTTTTATACACCTTTGAGGCCAGCAGTTTCTAGGCCCCCCTATGGGATAGAACTAGTAAAGCAAGCAAAAGGTACAGAAGTGGAAAAGGGGAGGAGGTTTCTAAGCTTCCTCCTTCTGAGTTCATCTAAAGGACAGGCAGGTGAGTCAAGCAGCAATATGGAGTCTGTCTTGCTAACCAGGGCCCTTCAGTCACTATGACTAATAAAGAGCTTATTGAGGCATTCTCATCACTGTCCGACATGCCCTTAGAGTATTTTTGTCACAGTAAACTTGAGCATCTGTCACTCTGACTTTTAATATCACTTTCCATAGAGGAAACAGACAGAGCCTGTGGAGCAAAGTTGCTCTGTCCAGCTTGGCAGCCCCACCAGGAGCAGTGCCCCAGGGCAATGTCCAGGCCAGCATGAACTTTACTCTTCCTTACGTGTCTTCCTTGTTCTCTCCTACAGCCAGCTTTGAGCCACCTAAGAAAATAATGAGAATAGGCAGTGGGATTGTAAATACAACTTTCCTGTAGATACTCTCCTGATACACCTTTGTTCTTGCAGTTTCCCTCTGAGCTAGCAGGCTAAGCCCTGGAGAATGACTCTCAAGTCATAGGTCAACTCTGACTTCATTTGCTATTTCTTGGAAGAATGTAAGTGCCTTTTATGGGAATCTGGAAAGGCTTTCTTTGTGAGAAAATTTCTGACAGTGGAGATTCTAGTTGGAAAAGTTCTGTGTGTTTTGATAAGTATTGCCATTTCTCATCTCCCCCTGGACTCAGCCTAAAGGTCATGGGTATGACAGAATGCCAGAAAACAAAATTCTGGCTCCTTCCCTCTCTCCTAGTCCCTCCTAGGTCTCTCCTGTGAGACCCCCACCAGTGACAATTCCCCAGTGACAGAGTAGTGCAAAACTCACTTTATTAAATATATATGTAATGTAATATTGTACAAGGAATTTAGAGTGTTAAAGAAGCACTAGAACCTAATAAACTAGTAAAACCAGATTTTATTTAAAAGCTATTGCAGTAAAAGAAAAATAAACCCTAGTGTAGAACTGAGCTCACTTCCAAATACAATATGGTCAAGTAAGGATTTATTGCCCAATAATAGGGTAGAAGTCCATGGATGGAAAATTAACAGGAGAAAACATCAAGGAAAGGGAAACATTGGCTTCACCAAGCCCTGAACTGAAACTGCACTTTTGAAGTCACATCCAAAGATGGGAATTAATTGGAAAAATAGCTCAGAGAAACATAGCTGGATTTTAGTCAAGGAGAGACTTTGTCACTAGACAATCTTCTCTAAAATGCTCTCCTAGGAGGGACAGGACAGTGGCCAAGCATTTCCTCCACTTACTACATCTCTGCAC